AAGTTATTATTGTTAGAATATCGTTAAAATAAAGCTTTTAAAACAAAAGTTTATTTTCCTCTAAATTTTCACATGTTTTCAATTAAAAAAAATATTGCAAACAAATTATGAGTATGGTGAAGATACATCAAAAATTCAATAAGAGCTGACAATGTAGCAAACATTATCTCTATTTTATGTTAGATTTTTGTTTAGAATGTATCATACCTAAAATTTTATAAAAACTTAAAAAGAAAAAAATAGTACTTGTACTTTTAGAAAGGTTTTTTTAGAGTTAAGCAAATTTACTCATTTAAGTAAATATAAATAATAACTTCTTATTGTGTTAAATTTAAATTTTATAATATTATAAAAAGATCAAATTAAATTTTAAGTTTTTATTTCAAAAGTAATTTTAAAATATGTATCATACAATAATGTAAAAACATAAATTTATTAATTGACCTTCTTAGAGCAATAATTAAATAATTCATTAACTTTTTAAAAGTCTCGTGTCAAAATATTTTTTTTAGGTGTAAGGATCGAATTTATTTTAAGTGTAAGAGTATAAGTAGTTTAGTAAAGTGAAATTTGATATTTTCTGGGTTAAGTTAAAAAGGTTATAAATAAAAAACTTAACTATTCAAGCTTATTTTTATAAATTCTACCATATTTCTTCTACCTTCTCTCCAAGCTTTCTCACTCTTTTCTTGTATTTTTCTAGATCTTACTCCATCTTACCATTTCAATTGAAGAATAAAACATTTTTGTTAAATTAAAAGTCACTTTTGAAAAAGTTTATCTTTATCCATTTTTTTTAGTTATTTTACATGTTTGTGTTTGGGTTGAATGTGGGTCTCAAGTTGACTCATGTGTAATTTTTTGGAGAAAATATTAATCTATGCGGAGTACAATGATATGTTCAATTTGTTAATTTAAGTATTATGTGAGCATGATTGAGTTTCTTATGAAATTTAGTATGTCTAGAGATACTACTTCTTGAAGATAGCAAAGTGCAAAAGAGGTAAAGGAAGTTAGTTTTTAATTCCTTAGTACTTTGGTGTAAATGATATGAATCTTAGAAATTGAATTGGTCACCCATATTAATTTTGTAGGAATCGTAATTGGCTATCATGTTGGAAGACGGGGGTGTTTTCAAAACCCTAATTTGTGTTTGGTGTGCAATGATTATATTGATTTGAGTATGTTGTTGTTAGAATTGATTGTTGTATGTATATTATTTTGATGGAAAGTAACTAAGATTAGTTCAATTGAACCAAAATTTGGGTTAAGAATCGTAAGTGTGTTTTGTAATGAGTTGGGATGTATATGAATTGATATAATTGTCTTTACATACTCAATTCTATGCATAATTCACTCAAGCAACTATTAGTCACTTAAGCAAAAATGCAATATTGAGTCAAGGTTCAAGTCTACTAGTGTTTGGAAGTTTTTGGAAGTTTTTGCTCAAGCTAAAATGAGCATGAGAGTCTAGCCTCAAATTTGACCGTTTTTGTTCAAGAGAAAAGTTTTCACTCAAATGTCAAAAAATTTAGCTTAAGCAAAAATGTTTCCACTCTAGAAAAATATTTTCACTCAAACAAGAATAAATTTGTGAAGAAAAATTAATTTTTGTATAATTGGCGCTCGAGCAACATTTCCCTACTTAGTCATGTGTTTAGGTGTTTAAAAACTATATTCTATCTTATTTACTAGAATCTCAATGATAACATAATTGTATAAATTGCAATCCATTATAAATGTGTTGATAATGTCATGTGATTAGTATAGTAATTACTGAGAGGTAATGTTTATGAGATTGAGTTGTGACATATTGAATTAGGGATTCATTAAGGATGTATCATGACTCTACCAAGAGCAAACCAAAAAAATTTAGACGAGGAATGACAGCATATAAAAATTAATTATATATTAATAGGCTGATTGTTTGGCTCCTGTATTTTCAAAAGGAAAAAAAAAATCTCTAAGAGTTATTTCCTTGATCAGAAAGAGTACCTGAGTTCTTCCAATAACTAAAAAGTATATTTAACTTGGGTTCAATAATGGTGGAGGGTATATTATATAAAATATTCATCATGTTCAACATTACTAATTGAATTTAAACTTTGAAAAGTAAAATTTATTTAATCATCTATCCTCTCTTTTATCTTAAAGAATTAGTTTATAATTAATTTTAGACATCTTTAAAACTCAATTTGAATTATTTTTTTCATACTTTAACATCAAAATAGAACATCATAAAACATTAAAATAATTAATAATTTAAAATAAATAAAAAAATTTACAATAATATTTCATATGTTTATATTATACTGTACTAATTTGTTATAAAAATAAGCAAAAACAATAAAAAAAATAAATTTGTTTACTATTTTTTTATTTCAAAAAATTATTGTGAGGTATCTCTTTTATCTTTTAAATTTTTGTCTTATGTTTTCAACGTGAACAGACAAAAAAAAACTAAAAAATTCGAAACAAAAAATTAAAATTTGTATGCTATAAAGATGGAACTGAAAAAAAAATTCAAACTATAGAGAAAGGTTTACAAATTTTATTCTAAAAGGTGAAACCATGAAAGAGAATGATATAAAAATGAACTAATGGTAAAGAAAAAGATAGAAATGTGAAAAAACAAGGTAAGTATATAATAGAAAAAGTTGAAGTGGAAAAATGAAAAAGTGAAAAGAAGAAAATATAAAAATATGAAGAAAGGAGAAAGAGAAAAAAAAGTATAAGTGAAAAATTATATAAGAGAATAAATATATTTTTTTATTTTAAATGAAAATTAAAAAAAAATAAAAGTTTTAATTTTATTTATATAGTATAATTTTTATTTAATTTAAAAAAATTTATTATATATAAAAGAAAGGTGATAAGAGTTAGGAGAGATTCTTCTTACATATGTTAGAGGAATTTACTCTGATCGTAAGTACCGTGATTATTGGATTATATAAACCCAAGTTTTTTATTGACTAAATAGATGAAGAAAGTGTGGTAGATATACTTCTGAAATAATTAGTTATCTATGTGGGAGTCCTGTGCTTGAATGAAATGAGATGTGTTTTACAATTATGAGTAAGTTAAGATGTGATTTAAAATGATAAGTTATTTTTAGGTTAGTTTAACGTGCATACTTAATGTTTGTTCGTGATAATCACATGAATACATGTGAGTGGACTATATTTCAGGAGTACATCTTAATAGGATTCTGACGGGGTGCTAACTTGATGGAGCTACATAAATTTAGCTTTTTTATATATATAATACTTGCAATTAAATGAGAGAATTGTTTTTCAAAGAATAATTATATATATTAATAAATTATCTTAAATATGTTTGAGTTAGCAAATGAAATTAGCAGTATACATAACCTTTTTTTTTGTTTTTTTGTATGGATCCAGCTGTAGGTGAGAAGCATGATTTAGGAGACATTAACGTCTTCCAATGGAAGTTTACCATATCAAGCAACGCATCCATCCATAAATTTTCATTATTTTCATCGTCTCAACTTCATCATCATAAAGTCTATACAAACCATGTCAAATGCTAATTCCCTTCTTATAAATTATTAACTAATGAAAAGACAAAGGATGCTGATTCATCATCCCACAAAATGGACCAAAAAACACACTTTACTGTATGTTCTTGACTTTTTTTCAGACTAATTCCTTTATGATATACAGCTATTCAAAATAAAATAAAATAAAAATTTATCAAATTTTACAAAATTTACATTCTGTTTTGTTACATTATATATTTTATTTTATTTTTAAGTTTTAACCCCTGTTAAATAATAATATATGTAGGATCGTAAATGAATCGTTCTTTCCTTGTCATGCCAACGCACATCTTCCATAATGATGCTTTAAGTTTGGTATATTTCGCTGTTACGATTTGAAACTCTTAAATTTTCATATCTTTTGATTTTTTGTATTGTCGTTAATATATTCAAAGAAAAGAAAATATATACTAAATTAATTCAACACATAATTATCTCTCACCTTAACAATACATCACCATAAAAAATTTAAATTATACACTTTTAATACCAATACAGAGATGCAATAAATTTTAAATTTATAAAATAAGGCTAAGATAATAAAGACGTGATGTATAAAATTGATATAATATGAATATAAATATAATATCTAGATTCAGTTAAATACACAAACATGTTTAGTTATTATAAATATAATAAAATATTCAAATAATCTAAAATACGTATCATATCATATAAATACAATTTCCATTATAGTAAATAGGTATTTGAAATGTCGGTGATTAATTCCTTCTCCCAAATCCAGCTCAATAGAATTTCATAATCTCCAAAGAAAATCGCAAACTTAAACATATTGTCAGATCTTACACGTTGTATAAAATCTACTTTGGATCCATAAAAAAAAATTGAGACATTTTTCTAGAGTTTAAAATTTATTCATCGGTTAGAAGAACACATTTTTCTCCACCAATAAAATTCCTTTTAAAGATAACATAGCTTACAAAAGATTACAAGTTGTTTTGCAAAGAGTTCAGAGGCATGGAATTGTGTAGAGCAATAAATGAGTTCAGATTTTGAGCATAGAATTAATCGACAAGGAGTGAAAGTCTAAAGATGATATATAAGTCTCTTATTGGAAAATAAAACAGATAATGTAAAATTCAGACTCGATATCATATTTTAATTTAAAATTAATTGACGATAAGAAAATAATTCCATAGATGTAAAGTAAATACACAGAAGATTGAGAGAGACTTTTGGAGGTCTCTCAAGAAAAACAAACAAGAGATGAAATAAGAATTTATTTTATATTTTGAGAAGTTACTTGCAAAGGCATTGTACATTTTGAAACCACAGTGGTAATTAAGGGAGCAAAGCAGCAGAAATTAAGTAGACACAATTGTTGTGGATGCTTACAATATTGGTGAGAAGAAGAATGCAAAAGAAAGTTAAAATTTACTAATAATAAGCAAGAAAAACTTGGAATGGAGATACATGTGTGTCAGTCCTTCTTTTCTTCAACCTTTTGTTCCACCTTGGTTTCTTTCACCTCCTTCTTGGCCTCCTTCACCTTGGCCTTCCCTTGTTTTGGCTTCATAAAGCAAAAGCAGGAGCAGCAGGGGCACTGGAACAAGAACTTCATTGCCTAGATGAGAAGTTCCCTTGTTACTGCTTAGATCTCAGATTGCAGGAGATAAGAAGGGTAATGTGCAGTTCTGTTTTGTGCTATTTAATTCCCTTAATTTACTCTGTACTGCCTTTTCTTTATCCAGCAGTGTCCATTGGATTCCACTTGTGTCACTTTCAATGTAGTGCCAGCTCTAGAGCGAGTGAGTGAGTGAGGTTGTTGAGCATGGAGTAGCCTAGCCATGTTCAAAAAATGGGGTCATCTTGCCCATCATGCTAATGGAATGATTAGGTGTGCACCCATATCTTCCATTTTGGTCTACTGAATAGGCTCCTCCTAGTTAAGGTTTTAGATTTAAAAACTATTATTTTTAAAATTGGTCCCGTTTTAGGGTTTTTATCTTTATTATTGGTTATTAATATGAAATATTTATTAATTTTGTTATTAGCTTGTTTTCCAAGAAACAAACGGATGGATTATTATTTTTTTAGCAAGTTTCTTTTTTCAATCATGTTATGACATGATAATTAAATGTTATTTTTACATATATTTGACATTTTTTCCAGTTTATATATATAGCTGTATGAACACCATGAACATGTGACACAGAAGAAGACACAAGGGACACATTCATCAAATTCAACAAGTTTGCCCCACAAGTTGACGCAAGGTACAAGCTCAACAAAATTTCTTCCATACATTTCAAATGGAAGCTGCATGATTTTTTTGACTTTGGCTCTTTACCATACTCATCACTAGTCACATGCACACCAATATACACCCACTTCTCTTCTCACCCTCCAATGACTGTTTTTCATATTTTCGTAACTAAATTTTACAACTTTTAATATAATATTCTATATTTGTATTATGTGAAGAAAATTGTATATTATTATGCGAGTAAAAAGGGCCATGACCTGCCAAAATATATATGGGCCAAAGTTTCTAATGTCTGGGCTCTTTATCTTCATATGCTACTAACTAAACTTATTCACGTAACCTTATCTTTCCTTTACAACGCGACAAAACCCTAAACTATTGGATAATGTCAACAAAGAAAAAGAAAATGTTAACAAGGAAAAAGGTTGTGGGTTGGGCTAGCAGTCTTACCACTTAAGAGACAGTTCAATTCAATTTCATTTGGATTCAAATGGTTAAAAAAAAGTGAAAAGGAAAAGAACATATGCCATTTTTTGCTTTTTCTTTCTTTTCTTTTCTTTTTTCCTTTTTCCTTTTTTCCATTATTTTGAAAACCACATAAAGTATTTTGAAGATGATTGTTCATAGTTATTCATTACACCGAATTTATACATCTTATGTTTTAAGTATGTAATTTGCATCTAATCTACATTTTTTTACTTATAAACATGCACACATCAAATATAGGCAAGAAGACCTATCAAACAAAACAAGAATAAATTCATGTAAATTTATTTAAAATGTATGAACATCAATTATTTGAAAACAAGTTCAAAAAAATTATAAAAAAATAGTTGAGGCTCTTGAAATATAAAAGTAAAGAAAACTGTCAGAAAAAAAAGAGGTGGGTTTGTTGATACCAACAAAATTAAGTCATGGACACCCTGATTTTGGGCCTAAGTGAGTTTATTATTTGTGGCTCAAGTTGGATTTGATTACTTATAAACCAAGTTATAATTATTGTTAAGCATCTTGGGTTGAAAAAGTGCCTAGAGTTAAGTGATTTGAGATTTGAGTGTGGGACAATGAGATTTGAGATTGCTTAATAACAATTCTAGTGTTTTCTTGTATGATACTTGACTAGATTCTTCATTAATTAAACAAATAGAAAAGAGTGAAGCAACTTTCAAAAATTTGTTTTATTTTATAAGGCAAACGGTCGTTTAAGCTTATTAATTATATTTATTATGTAATATCATAGATTAAAAAGAGTAAAAAATTGAACTTCAAATGTTTTTTATTTTTTTGAACCAACCATAACATATGGGTGTTTTATCAACCATGTCAAATTCACCACATTTCAATTAAAAATAAGTTAATTCAATCTTATTCATTTGTTAATTAGTCAAAATTTTATAATTAGGTTCAACTTGTCCATTAACTCACGTAAACATTTTTTTTACAGATGCATAATTATATATATTATAGAAGATAAATTTAAAAAAAAAAATCAACTTAATAAAGTTCAAAACATGTTATAATATATTGATACCTTTGATATTTATTAACTATTTTTCCAATTTCTTTTCAATGTTAGTTTTCTAAATTCTGATAAGAAGAAGTAAATATCATATATTATAGATGGTGTGTGTGAAAAAAATATCTATTGATATTAATGGTTGTTTGACTCTTGGTTCAAAAACACCCAGATTCAAAAAACCAACTGAAATTGAAAAGACAATACACAGTATGATGGTTTGAAGACAACCAAACAGCACTTATCAGATTTCCTGGCACAGTTTCTGATGCCAGCAAGGCCATCCCAAACTCAGAATGGAACAACTCAAAATGGTACTTTTACACATTTAATAGAGAGTAATACAATGGCATTGAAACTAAAATTTATTTATTGGTTCCATGGAAAAATAGGGTGTATTAATTACTTTAGAAATGTCAACGATCTAAAAAGAGAAGAGCATGTGAAAAAGGGCCATGATGGATGTGTCTATGGTGGAGGATGCCATCATGTTCGACTAACAAATCCACTCTTTCATAAGCTTGCTTCTCAAGACTTATCATAACTAATCTTTGTCCCAAAAAAAGCTAGTAAAATTAAAAACAAGAAAAAGGTTTACGAGGTTGATGCCAAAATAGCATAATGACCATTAATATTTATTAGTTGTTGCAACATCTTTAACAAAAATTTGATGCCACAATATATCTTTTACTTGAGTTTATCTCCTACAATTGTTCACTAGCTTTCACTTCACCACGTTTGAGAGAAGATGGTAACTTTGCTTTCCACCATTTCATATTCTACACGAAGTTAGCAAACATTATTTTGCATAAAAAAGTTGATGTCAGAATTATATTTAGTTCACAATTATTTCATATACACAATTTTTTAGCCATATTCTTTTTTAGTTTTTTTATTTTTAAATTGTCGACAGACATTAAATAATACATAGAGAGAAAATATATATTTAATACAATGTTATAAGAAAAATGATGGGTAGTTTATCCTTTTTTTCATATTATAATTCTCATCATGATAAATAATATATGAAATTAATGAACCTTTTTTTTTTTTAGAATTTTTAATAAATATTATAGTTTATAAAATATGGGTTATTTTTTGTGATTCTAAAATAGTATTTCTTATGATAAATTTTATATTTAATAATAATTAAAATATTTTATCTAAATACAATATTAATTTTTAATGAATTTAATTTTTTTATTTAAACATAAAATCATTTTAAAGAAATTTAAATTTTCTAAAAATTAAAAAATACTTTATTCAAACAAAATATTACAGTTACCTAATTATAATTTCAACGAAATTTTTAATCTTATAAGAATCAATTTCTAAGTTTAACCTATAAAAATATTATACTAAAAGTATATAACAGGACGAAATTAAAGAAAAAAAAATATATATATATATATATATATATATATATATATATATATATATATTAATTAATGCCCTTTTAAATTTGTAAAGTGACACCTCATTTGAAATAAACTTAACAATAATGTTAAATTAAAATAACATAATTTTAAATTTTATCTAAAAATATGCATTTCAATGAATAAACATACAATGGTTAGGTAATAATTACCATTATAACTAATAATGTACAAATAATTTAATAGACAAGTGTATGTAAATTGGATACCACTGGTTAAGTAATAATTTATTTAATTTTATAATTAAATACGAATTTATTATCAACATATATTTATTTATAAACATAATTCTATATTAGAAAGGTCTAATTCTATAACCCGTTATATAAGTATTATAAAATAATATGAACACAATGTAAATTTTTATTCCATCCGATCATAAGTCACTAATCACGTTTACTATTAACTTAAACATTAAAATATTTTTGCAAATATTCCTATTACAGTTAGAAATATTGTTACATTTTTTTTCTGTTTTCTCTTCTTTGTTATTTTGGTTAGTTTTTTATCCTTCTTTTGTAAATATAGGATTATAAAAAGTTTCTCTCTTTATTGATATTGTCATGTTGATCAATAAAGAGTTATGCAAAAATTTTCTTTTTTAATTCAAGTCATAAACACTAATATGGTATCAGATTAAGAATTTCCTTCCTAGCTTCCGCATTCTTTCTCTAGCTTCTGTTTTCTTCTTTACTGCTTCTGATCCACCATGGCTCAACTTAGCCTAAACAACACACCATCAGATCATCTCATTAACCCTGTCAATCCCCTGTACTTGCATCCTGGTGAAAATCCAGCCGTTGTTCTTGTTTCACCTCTTTTGACAGAGACAAATTTTCATCAATGGCAACGTGAAATGTTGGTGGCTTTAGAAACCAAAAACAAAGAAAAGTTCGTCAACTCAAGTCTTCTTTGCCCTCCTGTCAACAACCCTCTTCATGGCGCTTGGCGACGTTCCAACCGAATGGTCATGTCATGGCTGATACGTTCCATGACGCCCTTCATCAAACAATCTGTGATGTGGATGGACACTGCGCTTGAAATTTGGAATGATCTTAAAGAAAGATTTTCACATTCCAACAAATTTCGTGTGGCGGATCTTCAAGATCAAATACAAAACTGCAAACAAGGTGAGACCAGTGTATCCGAATACTATACAAGATTAAAAATCTTGTGGAAAGAAATAGAACTGTACCAGTGCGTTCTAGCTTGTTCATGTTCCACGTCCTGTTCCTGTGGACTTCTTCCAAGATTACAAAAAATAAGGGAGGATGATTGTGTAATACGCTTCCTACGAGGCTTAAATGATGATTACTCCCAGGTTTGTTCTCAAGTGATGATGATGGACTTGATGCCTTCCATTGTTAAAACCTTCTTCATGGTCTTGCAACACGAATGAGAATTTGTAAGCACACCCTCCTCCAATCAAGATTTAGTTGCATTTTCTGTACAATCCAATGAACCCTCTAAACAATACAATAAAACTTCCACTGGAACTATCAAGAATACCAATCTTGGTAAATCCAATAGAAATAACAAGTTCTGTGAAAAATGTAAAAAGACAAATCACACCATAGAAACTTGTTATTGGCGCATTGGATTCCCTACTAGATACAAAAAAGCACCTCATGTTTCTGCTAGTGCTACTTCATCTGCAAGTTTGGCAGAAGCAGAACCTGATACTTCTCATCTGCAATCTGAACTGGTTGAAGGTTCTCCTCGTGAGCAATTTAGTTTCTCCAAAGAACAATACACTGCTCTCCTAGCTCTTCTCCAACAATCTCAAGTTAATTCGGCTTCAGTTCATTCTTTACAAAATCTTTCCGTTAATTCATCAGGTGATATTTCTTCTTTTACTCCCTGGATTTTGGACAGCGATGCTACAGACCATATATGTCCATCTAAAATCTTGTTTCAGTTCTTAAAACTCATTTCTCCTATACATATTAAGGTGCCTAATAGTACTACTGTTACTGCAAATTTTTCTGGCAAAATAATTCTTGGCAATTCAAAATGTTCTTTATGTACCAGATTTTGTTGTCCATCTTAATTCCTAAACTTCTATCGCATTTTGATTACATGATTGTGTTTTTCTATACCACATGCTTGCTTATGCAGAAATCACAATTTCGAATGATTGGTACAGCTAAATACTGCAATGACTTGTTTTACCTTCAACAAAATAATGGCTTCAATTCATGTGATTCTTTTTCACATAATGTTGTTGTTTCCAGTGATATGCCAACATTATGGCATCATAGATTAGGCCACACATTTGATCGCATTTTAAAACATTTGTCTACGAAATACAATGATATTATTTTTTATTGTTCTCAACCTTGTGACACATGTCATTTTGCTAAGCAAAAAAAGTTGTCTTTTCCACATAACAGTAGCAAAAGTTTGTTTTTCTTTGAATTAATTCATGTGGATGCCTGGGGCTGTGGCTACTTCATCTATTGATGATTTTAAATACTTCTTAAATGTTGTAGATGATTTCACACGTTTTACATGGATACATTTTTTAAAATTCAAGTATGATGTTAAAACTATTTTGTCATCTTTCATTCAATTAATAGAAACTCAATTTACATTAAAATTAAAACGTCTAAGATCCGACAATGCAAAAGAATTTTTTCTCACCGATTTTTTTAATAATAAAGGAATTTTTCATGAAACTTCATGTGTTGAAACCTCTCAACGAGAATAGTATTGTTGAAAGAAAGCATCAACATTTGTTAAACTTTCGATTTCCCACTCCTGTCTCAAAAATTGAGGATCGAGAATCAATTTTTCACACTCCCATCTCAAAAACTGAATATCGAGAACCAAAATTGAAGATTACGAGATAAACATCCAAAACCGATTGTTTAGGGAGAAAGTAAGTTTGTGTTCAAACATGTAATATGCTATATTTTTTATTTAATAACTTCTTTGTCCCGTTGAAAATATTTATTCAATGACCTTAGTTTTAAATAAAATATAATTGTATTTTATTTTTTTAAGTATCAACATCTAAGTTGTTCTTTTAAATAAGATTTTAAGTTCAAGTTTTGGGGATGAAGAAATATGATGAGAGAAAGAGACCTCATTAAAAACAACAATAATATTTATTCAATAATATTAAGTTCGACTTTTGAAAAGAGTTATTATAGTACCTTGATGCAAATATTTATTCAATAATTATGTTATACGTAAAATTTGATTTATTTATTTTTAAATATAATCAAGTACCACTAAAGTAAGTAACAAGATGCTTTTAAGTACCCTTAAATAAAATAAAATAAAAATGTTTAATCGGAAACACCTATAATATATCCTATAAAACTTTAAGCATAAGTATCACTAATGCTGCTTTGGAGGATCAACATTGTTTAATTAAAAGTGGAAATGAATGGGGATTGCTTAAATTGGGGCTTTGATTGACCAACTCCATATTTGAACTTTGTTTCCTTAATTTTCTTTCAAGTTATAATAACACCATATTTGATCACGTCCCATGATGATGACAAACCAAACATCGTGTTAATTTTGATTCTGTGTTCCTAACCTCTTATGGTATAAATTCCCCTTGTCTGCTTTCTTAGCTAGTTTGGTTGCTTTACACGCAAAAAATGTAACAAGAAGGGTTGTTTTCTTTATGTACGACAAACCCAACATTGTGTTATTGTTCAAAGATGATGCCGTTGGACTTACGTTGCGCACATAATGTATGTTCAACCTCAGTCTCTTCACTTAATTTTTTCCTCTTTTTTTTTTTTTTCCTGGATCTTAAATTTCTTCTTAAACAAGCGTATGTTCGTTGATTTTCGATTTATATAGAAAAAATTAGCATTAATTGTCCTAGT